CGTTAAGCCAAAAAGATCGAAAAGCTTGTAGAGCTGCGTGGTTGACGGCCAAGTGCTGACTGACCTTGCACACGTTCGCCTAGGTCGGCCTCCTTCGTGCACATTATCCTCCACGTTGGATCACCTATTGGTCGCTACAACAGCAGATATTTCACATCGTTTTACCCGTGTGCTTGAATCAACAGCCTCAAACCCGTCTTTGGCAGCCTGACTGTGGTTTACCATCCACGACCACAATTTTCGGCAACATCTGTCTCTGGTAGACTAAGATCTTCTCGAAGACAAGCTGCATACATCAAATCGGGGCCATGTCACAATCCGAACAAATTTCTTCCGTCTTGTCATCGCCTTCTTCTTCTGTAATCGAAATGATGTCGGCGAGAGCACCTAGCTCCCCAACATCACCCTCCACTCAGTTGGGATACGAGAAGCTGTCTTCACAACCAGTCCAAACTCCGATTGTACTTACTTCTTCAACATCACATGAGCCATTGCAGGCGGATTCTATGGGTGCTACGGTACCAGATCCAACCACCTGCAAGATAGATGTTGCTTTTGCCTCAAAGCAAAGCCCAAAGCGTGCTCGCCAGCAAGTTGAGGAGAAGGAAGACAATCCTGAGCATTCCAGAAAACGCAGGGCAAGCTCTAATAGTAAGACCATGGTTGAAGCCACGCTGTCCGTTGAGCAGGCAATCCCAAGCAAAACTGAAACCTCGACGAGAAACGCACGAGCTCAAGCCCCTGTCGGCAATGTCAGTCGATCCTCGCGTGTCCGTAAGCCACCGAAGAAGTTTGGGGTCGTCGATGAGAAGGAGCAGATGTCGGCCAAGAAATTCGTGCAGACAAAGAAGCCTGCCTCGAAGGTCTTCGATCCCGTCTTCATAACTTCGAACTCGACTAGTCGGCTGGGAAAGGCGGACATATACGTAAGCTATGACATACCCCTCTGCTGCTTTGGTTGTACACTATTAACCTGCTACAGCATATGCTCCTCGAAGACATAGCCTGGACGAGTCTCAGCCGTGACCAGCAAAAGGCTCTCTTGTCCATGTTACCGCCCAGTCTCACGAATCAAGAGGTTCTCAAAGAAGACATGGTTGGAGACGAAGAGATCAGCCGTCCGCAAGCTTTCACCATGTCCAATGACTGCTTTCGCACTGATGTAGCCAAATTCAAGGAGGATCTCATCAATGGTCATTTGGCCAAAACATGGCAGGCTGCTGCTGAGCAAGCTGTTATTGAGCGTGCAGCCGGGAAATATGATGAATGGAAGGCCGAAGAAGCAGAAGCATGGTGGGGCCAGAAGAGTAAATAGCATGCTCGCCGCATGTGAAGTTGATGTTGGTAAATGGCGTAGCTCAATTTCTGAATGCAGATTTAGGACCTTGGATCAACTCAAACACTGGCTGCAGCCGTGCAATTACTTTAATGACGTTGGGCAGGGGCCGCCTTTTTTGAATGCAGTCATCACATGGCCTTTTGGAGCCTAGCAGGATCTATTTTCCACAGAATCGTACCCTCGATGTGCAGACATGAAATTTCCATACTGCTCACTGAGCCATTAGCTACTATTCCTGGGCGTTGAAATGGCGGATGGCACACGTGCATGGCATGCCATGCGGCTGAGATGCTGTGAGCGATCCTGTCCTCAGACCCCAATTTTGATGTGATGAAAAGTATTGATTTTAAGAATCTATAGACGAGAAGCCAAGGTGGCTAGATATAGATATCCCCACTAGTCCCAAATGGGTGTCTCCCAGACAACCCGGGATAGGGGAGTCGCCAATGGTGGTAGGCAGTCACCATGGCTAATACAGGGTAAGCACTATAGCTAATACAGGGTAAGCACTATAGCTAATACAGGGTAAGCACTATAGCTAATATAGAAATAATAGTCCCCTAAATCTATAGTAATTATAAATATACAAAGAAAATATCTATATTAGATAGTAAGTTCTAAGATAAGCTAATTAAGTTTCTCTAATATTAGGCGTGGCAGAGCTTTTATATATATATTAGCTAGGTTCTCTACTAATATAATATATTAGATAGTATAATTATTAGCTAGGTATTATTCTTAGATAAAATAGTAATAAACGTGGATATATTTAGATTATAATATAAGTTTCTAATCTTAAATAAGTAACATAGCTAGCTTATTATTAACTAATAGATAGTATATTAGGGTATCTAGGAGTTTAGAAATAGTATAGCAAGCCTAGATAAGGTAGGAAGTAGTATATAACGTAGCTATATATTCTGCCTTATAGGTGCTTTTAGCTATATAGCTCTATCTCTTAGAGGACTAGGAGATAATAGAGCTATTAATCTTTAGGATATAGCTAGAGAAGGATTTACTAGTATCTAGGTTAGATATATATAAGGCGTCTAAATATATTATTATTATAGCTAGGTTTTAGTATATTAGATAGATAGTAATATTAAGGTAATAGTTAGATATTACCTAGATATATTATAATACCTAAAACACTAATTTTAAGTATAACTCTAAAGGATTTGCGTTATAAGAGCTAAGAAGCCTAATAGTGTATACTAGATCTAGTTAACTTATAACTACTATAAAGTTAATAGAACTAATAATAGATTAGAACTTCTTCTACCTATTATTATTAACTAGGATATCTAATAGAGTTTATAGTAGGAATAAACTTAGGTTAATAGGTGTATATTAACTATTATAGTCTACTATATTATATTACTAAAGCACTACTTTAATGTATATCCTCTAATAGAGCTAGATACTTTAACTATTTAGATAAATATCTATTTCTAAACCTATAAGTATCTTAGGTTTGCCTATATTACAAAATTAAAATCTAGTAGTAGTAAGGGTAAGTATAGACTAAATCTATATATTTATCCTAGCTATAAGGATATTATCTATATAGATCCCTAATACTAGGTGCTCTAAAATAAATATATAAGGGTTAAAGTTAGATTATATAAAGCCCTAACTCTTTAGCTATTCTAATAGTACTATATACTATTCTCTACTAGATTACTTAAGACTATACAGAGTTTTGCAGAGATAAAGTGCAGCTTTGTCTAGGACTTAGAGTCCTAGTAGTAGTTAGTAATAGATCTTGTGTTTAAGATACCTATTAAGGTAGGCAGCGTTAAAATTAACCTAGCAAAGTTTCTAGCTATAGATAATAGAGAGTAGTAGTAGGATATAAAGGCTATTATATCTAACTACTAGTAAATATATATTATTATAGTTAAATCCCAGCCTCTATAAAAATCCTTATACTACTAGTCTAGCTTTTCTCTTAATAATTTTACCTAACTTATTTTGCTTTGTATTAAATACCTACCTAGTGCCTATAAGCTTTATACCTTAAGGTATCTAGTAGGGTAGCGCAATCTCCTATATACTATTATCTTTATAGTTAGCAATTTCCTTATCTATAGCTAGCTACTATAAGAGAGTAAATAATAGGCTAACTACCTCTATATATATTTATAGGGTATTAACTATATACTATAATATAGTAAATACTATAGAGAAGATAGATATATTAGCTATAGTATCCTTATTTAGGGTAGTTAAGAATACGCCTACTATTATATTATAGCCTTAGTATTATAATAGCTTTTTAGTCTAGTAGCTAATACGTGTAATTACTATTAGCGTCTATAGTAATATATCCTAAGGCTATAGGTTCTTCTAACTCTTATAGTTAATATTCTTCCTAGGGTAAGGAGTAGGGCTACCTATCTATATCTTATATCGCGGTAGTATAGAGATATATTCTAGAGTGCTAAGAAGGTTATTAAATATATTAGTTACTCTTAATCTTAGACCTAGAGTTTAGGGAGTAGTTAAAATATTATCCTATCCCCCTATTATCTTATTAAGAATTTTAATAGGAGGTAATATAGATATTAATTCCTTTAGCTATAGCACTATAATATTTTTATTCTAGAAGGGATGTTCCCTAGCACTATAAATCCTATCCTCTAGGATAGGGTAGAAGTTCTAGGGCTTTAGAATAAATAGGGCAAATAACACGTCCTGTAACTCTACAATAATAGCGCGTTCTAGTATATAGAGACAGCTTGTCTAAGTGCTCTAGCTATACCTAATAAAGATATATTACTTAGCGCGGTGTAGGAGTTTTATACTAGGTTTTTAGGCCTCTATAGGAATATAAATATAAGCTTAGATACTAAATAGATATAGATGTTAAATAAAGGGCTTCTTCCTAAAGAGCTATTTATATAGGGAGCAAAGTAGCTTATTTATAGAATATAGCGTAATATTTTTAATAAAGTTCGCTAGGACTATTACTTTAGCCTATAGGAATAGAAGGTTATCTAAAGGAATTATAGTTCTAGTAATTTAGAAAATAGAGCAATTAAATCGCTTAGGAATCCTATTTATCTTATAGTAATATAGTAGCACTAGCTAATAAATAATTCTAAGATATTTAAAAAACTTCTATAGGTCCTAGCTAATATACTCCCCTCTATTATCTAATTTAAACCTCTTAACCACTAATAATTATAAGTTAGAGCTTTTAGGGCAGAATTAGGTATTAGCATAGGTAATAAAGTCCTTAATAGCTTGTAGGGCGTCTACTTTAAGCTTTAGGAAGCAAATCTATAAATATCTTGTGCAGTTATCCACAAAAGAGATATAGTACTAGGAACTACTAATACTTTTAGTAGGCATCTTCCTAGACAAGTTAGAATAAATAAGTTTAAGTAGCTTAGTAATTAAGGATTCCCTAGAAGATAGCACTTAATACATAGATTTAGATTATTAGTATATAGTATATAAAAAGTTTTCTAGTTAAGGTAGTACTAATTTACTATTAGTAAACACCTATAATAGGTTTAGTATATTTAGGTGTCCTATAACCTTATAGAATTCCTAATATAACCTAAATTATATATCCTTTACCTTTATTACTACTACTATCCCTATTATCTATATCGTGAATATATAACTATATATTAGAGATTAGGAGGTAGATATTAGCAAAGGGCTTAGTGCTATATAGGAAGTTGCTATTAGAGGCTTAATATAGGAGGATATGCTTATAAGTAGCGTATTTATAGGTAGATATAGTAGAGCTTCTATCTATATTTAAATAAGACTATTAACGTGTCTAGCCTATAGTGTATATATACTATATTATAATAGGTAGAGGTTATCCTTTTTAGCGTAGAGCTTAAAATCTAGGTAGCAAATATACGTCTATAAGAATAGCTAAGTACTAAAAAGTTTAGTGCTATAAAGCGTGTTTATTAGTTTAGCTACCTTAGTAGATCTATTAGGGAGTCTATATTACAATCTAACTATCCTGCTACCTTATATAGGTAATTTAATACTACTAGCAATAGTAATTATGCCTATTCTAGGAATAAGGAATATAAAGTTATCTGCACTACCTAATATATACTTTAAGGCACTAGTATTAAATAGCTATATAGGTAGGTTAGTAATAGTTAGTTTTTTAATAGTAGTATAAGTACTTACTAATTTTCTTAGGTGTTTACTATTTACGTTTATTATTAATAGTAGGGATAATAGTTAGGACTCTATAAGATTAATATAATAAATAGTGTAGCTAATAACTATAGTTAAGCTATTATTATCTAAATTATTAGTATTATTAGTAGTAGTATTATGTGCCTTCTAATGTTTAGTAGGCTAGGATATCTTATCCTTAGTCTAGGCCTTCTCCTTATGCTTCTTAAGAGCGGCATATATAGGGTAGAGGTAACCTATACAGGGCAAGTTATATTTCTAGCACTAAGTATATATTAACTTAGTAGCATTAGCGTCTAGTAGCTTACTTAATAAGTATAATAGCCTTTTGTATACTAATTATCTAGCTGCGTATATAGCTAAAGAGTTAACATCTAGGGAGTGCTTTTCTAAGATATCTAGGATCTTAGGTTTAATATCCTAGAATATAGTAATATTCCTAGTAAAGAGGTTATCTATAACGTTGTCTATTATCTTAGG